CAGTTCTGTCAATTTTCACATTAATAATTTTGGGGCTATGTTATTAAATATATTCAAGTTTAGAATTATTTTTATATTTCTGATAAATTGTACTTTTTATCATTTTGTTGTAAAGTCTATCCATAATCTATAACTGTATCAGCTTTTTTTCATTAATATTTTGATATCTTTTTTTTTTTTTTTTTTTTTTTTGAGACGGAGTTTCGCTCTTGTTAACCCAGGCTGGAGTGCAATGGCACGATCTTGGCTCACCACAACCTCCGCCTCCTGGGTTCAGGCAATTCTCCTGCCTCAGCCTCCTGAGTAGCTGGGATTACAGGCACACGCCACCATGCCCAGCTAATTTTTTTTGTATTTTTAGTAGAGACGGGGTTTCACCATGTTGACCAGGCTGGTCTCGATCTCTTGACCTCGTGATCCACCCGCCTCAGCCTCCCAAAGTGCTGGGATTACAGGCTTGAGCCACCGCGCCCGGCCCAATATTTTGATATCTTACATGGCTTTCCCATCCCTTTACTTTCATCATTGATTATCATTTGTATTTTAGATGTATTTTTTGTGCGTAGCATGTTAAATTTCATTTGTTGATTTAACCTGACAATCTTTTTTTTTTATACTTAGAATGTTTAGTCCATTTATCTTTATTTTTATGTACTGATATAGTTTTATTTCTAGCATCTTACATTCCTTTTATTTCACCTTTCTTTCCTACTTTAAGGTTAATTATAGTTTTTGTTTGTCTAAATTGTCTTTATTTTTTCCGTTGTTCTGTGAAGATGTTTTACTGGTTATATAATTCTAACTTCATAGTTGTTTTACCGCTTGTACACTGAAGTGCACATTGGCTTCTTCTGCTATGGAAAAAGGTGATAGTCTGAAGATTCTTTTGAAGGTAACATATAATTTCTCTTGGATGGCTGTTAAGATCTTTTTGTTTTTGATCTTATGTAGTTTTGATGTCTATTTATAGATTTATTTTTAATTACTCTGCTTGAGATGCCTTGGAATTTCTAATCTGACAAGTAAAATCTTTCGTAAATTCTGGAGAATTTTCAGCCAGTATTTTTTCAAATATTGCCCTTCTCCCGTTTTCTTTCCCCTCTCCGTAGGAACTCAGATATTTATGAGACTGTCTCACTTTGTCCTCCATGTGTCTTCATCTTTTTTTCATATTTTCCTCTTTTTGTCTATGCTGTCCAGTCAATTTTATATTTACAGTAGTGTATTTTTTCTTCTCTGAAAGTTTATTAGTTCTTTTTCAATTCTACATGCTCCTTTTTTATGTTCTTAATTTCTTATTTCCTTAAGCAGATTAAACATCGTTGTATTTTTTGCTCAACAATTCTAGTGTTTGAAAATTCTTTGCAGGTCTTATTCTGCCTGTTCATCCCACCCCCGCACACACTTTGCTGGCTTTTGTTCATGGTAACTTGATTTCTTATGCATTTTGTGATTGATTGATTTATTTACTTTTTTTTTTTTTTTTTTACCATGTGCTTATCGACTTAGGAACATTCTGTTTGAGAGGCTGGTTTGAAGGTACCTTCCTTCAGAAAGGATTATTGGCCGGGTGCAATGGCTCACACTCGTAATCCCAGCCCTTTGAGAGGCAGAGGCAGCTGATCACTTGAAGTCAGGAGTTCGAAACCAGCCTGGCTAAGATGGTGAAACCTCGTCTGTACTAAAAATACAAAAAACAACAAAAAAAAAAACTCCAGAAAGATCGTGGGAGCCTGCAGTCCCAACTACATGGGAAGCTTAGGCATGAGAATCGCTTGAACCTGGGAGGTGGAGGTTGCAGTGAGCTGGGATTGCACCATTATACTCCAGCCTGGGCAGCAAAGTGAGACTCTGTCTCCAAAAAAAAAGCCATTAATATAGTATTTGCTTTTCCTGGATGCCTGAGGCCTACTAACCTGGAAGTACTTAAACTAGTCTCAACTTGGAGGTTTTTCAGACCACACAAGTAGTTTTTAGTTGCACACCCCTATCTGAGGACAATTTGTGGTTATTAATTCTCAGGAGGTATTTTTTCCTCTACTTTTCACCCAATCCTAAGGCAGACAGTTTTCTTTGCTATCTCTTGCTAGAGGTTGGAGGTTATTTCTAACTTACCCTTTAAGCCTTTTAGGAATTCTCCCTTTATGCATCAGCTCTTCTGTTAGATTTCCCTTCTTCAGTTGGCCCTACGTTCTTCTTTCTCCTTTGCCTTCTTCATAAGAGGTTTAGAAAACTTAAGAGTCTGGTTTGTTCAAAATCTTCAGAGTGAAAATCAGCTTTTGTCTTCTGTTTACCCTTTTGAGGTTGTTGCTTTCACTGGGCCTCTGATGATTCTTTACTTTGTTGCTCACCCTGTGATGTATTTTAAATCATGTTACTACATTTGACAAATATTTTAATTTTATTTCCATAGTAGTTTGAAGTATCTAAACCACCATACTATAGGAAATGGTGTCATATAGCAAGCTTTTATAAATTTGGCTTTGCTTTCTATTTTTGGTTGGTTTTTAAAAAAATTTTATTTTTTCTTCTTTTTTAGTATTTTAATGTTTTCTGTATGCGGGTAGGGATTATAGATACCAGTCCAATTTTAACATTCTGTATTTAGTATATACTGTTATGGAATGATTGGTGGCACTTCTGTTGACATAACCAACAAATATTTGTTGAATGCCTGCCTTATACCCATCACTGTTCTAGAATGGGGATATAGAGGTGAACACAACAGGTAAAAATCCCTGCCCCCTCAAGGAGCTTTGATTCTAGTATGGAAAACATGGGCGTGTAGTACATTAGACAGTGATAATACTAAGAAAAAATAAAGCAGAGAAGGAGAGAATAGCTCAGGAATATGCAGAAAGGATAACATTTTTTTTTCCTCCCTCAGGTTTATTTGTTCAAATAGCACAGGAGGACCCCAGCCCCATGCAGATGGCAGCCCCAGGGGGTCGCACCAGTCCTTCTGTCCTCACGTTGGCAGACAGAGGTATCTACTCTGAAGCCTTTGTAGGGGCCTGGGCACCTTTGGGAGACTGAGCTGGAAATGAAGCTAGAGCTGCAGGCTGGGCCTTGTTTTGATCCTTGGCCTTGGCCTTGACCTTTGGCCGGCAGAGCCTGAGCCCTTCGGCAATGCGAGCACGAGCACGCTTCCCAAGCTTGGGGTGGGCAATGTAGGCAAGTCGATCGAGCTTTCGGCTGACACCTCGCTTTGGGATCTTGGGCTTAACCTCCTTGGGCTTTACGAGGGCCTCGATGGCCTCGGCACGTGCACTCATGGCCTTGGCGTTGTTGGCCTGCATCTTTTTTAGGCCCTTCTTTTTGTGCTTCTTGGCAAAGTGCGTGTTCCTCAGGAACTTGGGGTCCACCCCCTTAAGAGATTCGTACCTTTGTGATCGGGGTTTCTTGATACCATTTCTGTGCCATTTTCGGGACTGGTTGTGTGTGGTGTGGTTCTTGGACTTGGCCATGTCTGCACCTAAGACACAGTTCCCGAAGTGCCTAGGACCGGAAGAGAGCGAAAGGGTAACATTTTTAAAGAAAAGAGGATGTGAGCAGTAAGCACTCCAGAAAAAAGACTTAAATGCTTTACAAATGCCCAAAAGAATAAGGAATGAAACGTTTTATATTTATATGGTTGCAAGCACTGATATTTATTCTTTCTTCTCTCTTAAATCCCAGTTTTTGTCTTTTCTACTTGTTTTGGTTTTCCAGGCAGCAGAACTGACTTTGCCATCTTGGGCAAGTTTCTTAATGTCTCTGAGTTAAAATAAGACTATTGCGTATCTCTCAGGACAGATGGATGAAACGAGACATTTGTAAAATGCCTGACATTTGATGGGCACTCAATAAATGGTAGTTTCTCTTGTTTTCATTCTTCCTGTCTTATTTATACTCTTTTCAGCACTTGTTTTCAGTACCTCTTGGTAAACTTGCAATGATATGATTTCCCATTTTTTTTTTTTAAGATGGAGTTTCTCTCTTGTCACCCAGGCTGGAGTGCAGTGGCGCAGTCTCAGCTCACTGCAACATCTGCCTCTCAGGTTCAAGCGATTCTTGTGCCTCAGCCTCCCGAGAAGCTGGGATTACAGGCGCCCACCAACACACTTGCCTAATTTTTGTATTTTTTTTAGTAGAGATGGGGTTTCGCCATGTTGGCCAGGCTGGTCTTGAACTCCTGACCTCAGGTGATCCTCCCACCTTGTCCTCCCAAAGGGCTGGGATTACAGGCATGAGCCACTGTTCCCGGCCGTAATGATATGATTCTTATGCAGCACCACAGAGATAGCATGTGATAAGAAATTAACTAAAGACAAATTAGGAGAATTTGAAAGTTTGATTAAAAAAAACTTTTCTAAAGTAATTTTTAAATTCTGATTTGGTTCTTAAGACTAAAGAGATAAAGCCAAGCTTTATGCATTTTCCCCTTAAAAGTACTTTTCATTGTACTGCATGCAGGTTGGCAGTCTCAGTAAATCTCCATTTGTATATGTGACAGTCTGCAGAATCTCCAGTTATGGTGAACTCAAAGCAAGCAGGGCATGCCACATACATGTACGCATATAGTTACATATCTACTCTTTAGCCATTAACCTAGACTGGCTCTAATGTTTCAATGTAAATTGGTGGGTTTTCTTGTGCCACTAAAAATGGAGGAAATGTAACAGTAAGAGTGAGACTGCAAGATTCCTGTAGTTTGGGTTTGAATGAAGCTGAAATCTAGACCCTGAAATAACTCATATTCCTTTAGTGAGATTTTCTGTGATTGGAGAGTCCTGAGACCTTAGTTTTCATACTGGTTTGACACTGATTTACCATGGGGTCTCCATCAATCAGTCTCACTGTCTGTGTCATAAGTGATATTTCCCATACAAGACTTCCTTGCCTTGTATGACTGTTGAGATTTCAGAGGATGGGAGCAATATGAAAGTAAGATAATCACTAAAGGCAAACTAAGTACAGCTATTTATATTTGATGCTTTTGGTTTTTGGTCTCTCTCCAGCCCTACCATTGACCATGCCCTGCTGGTCATGCCCTTCCTTTGACTCCCTGGGAAGATGCCCTCTGACCTCTGAGAGCAGCTGGACCACCCATTCTGAAGACACCAGCAGTCCTAGCTTTGGATGTTCCTATACAGACCTGCAGCTCATTAATGCTGAGGAGCAGACGAGTGGCCGGGCTTCTGGGGCCGACTCGACTGGTAAGATGGAGCTTTAAGCCAGAGGGTTTTGCAGATCACTTTTGGTGTACCCAGGTCCACTTTAAAGTCCTTTTAAAATTGCTGCAGCTGGCTTCATTTGCAGAATGAATTCAGGTGTTGTTATCCAGTCAAAAAGCTAGAACTCAAAGTGGAAATTGTACTGGGGAAAATGTGTACACAAATTGGATGATTGGATGCAGATTATTCATACTGGGCAACCATTTGACAGTTTATTTTAATATGTTGTTTTCTGACTGTTCAGTATAAATACGATTCTGTCAATTTATTTTCTCCTGGGATTATTAAACTATGTGTAAATATGCACAAGGCTGAATCTCTCATCCTCCTACCCACGCATCTTGCCTTTTCACTAAAAGGGAGGTAGATTTAAGCAGGAAAAAAGTGAATGTTACGTGAAACAGAATGAGAATTAAGACTCAGCCACTGTGTCCAGACTACAAATCATTTTGGAGTTAAGTGTTTATTCCGTTATGCCTTGGTTGAGTGATACGTCAATCAGCAATGTACTATGCCTCATTTATTAAAGTTTCCAGTAGGCGTAAGATGGAATGCTGGCTTTCTTTGCAGGTGGAATATGGGTCTGTTAACAAGTGCTGAATTACAGGCAAAGTTTGGGAATGGCACTGGAAGGATATATGGCATTGGAAAGATGTTCTTGGTGTTTTGGTTATTTGGCCCAAGAGATTTTTTTTTTTCTGAGAGTGATGAAGTTACTGCTCATTTCTCTGTGGATGAAATAACCTAGTGTGTTGACAACATTTGTTTTTCCTTCTCCATGTTGTTCAGAGTTTCTAGATCATTTTTAAGCTTTGGATGTTTGTCTCATGCCATGTGCCATTGAATCCTACAGGTATAAAGAGGGATCTCTCTTACAGACTGAAGGGTTCAGGCAGGATTTGGTTTGGTATTTGAAAATGTTGCTGAGAATCCTAGTTTATCATGGACCCTCTTTGTCTTCAGAAGTTGTGGTTCTTTATATTGTTTTATTTTCAGACCCTCCTTCAGTTCTGGTTAGTTTCTGTGGCTGATGATCCTGGTCAGAGGCTGAAATATGCCCCCATAGCCCCATATCCACACTGGGGGCATCTCATGGATGGGAGCACACCTCAGCAGCTGCTGCTGTTAGGAAGAGAGGCTGAGCTTGCCTCCCTGCTTCACTTTTCATTGCTCTTGGCCCCCTTTCCAGGCCATTCCAAGGAGGAGACATATATGCGTTGGTTCAGGGTACCCGGACTGCTCAGATTCAAATCCTGGTTCTGCACTGACCAGCTGTGTGACCTCAAGCAGGATCCTTACTATCTTCACGACGCTATTTCATCTGAAAAAATGGGGATATTAATAGTACTCACCTCACCTTGAGATAGTTTATGTAGAATAACTTACACGATGCTTGACACATAATAAGTGGCCATCAGGGATGAAACAAATTCTCTTTCCTGCTGCAAGGTTCTTGTTGCTTTGGAGAGTTGCAGAATGGGCGCCTCATTGAAGGAAGAGCCAGTACCTCTAGGCTCATGCTGTTTTTTTGTTGTCTTCTCTACTTTTTTATTAGATGAAAGTTAATTCTTAGAGGTTCAAGTAACGAAAATCAGAACCCTAGCCTGAACATTATTAGTCTGCCTCCACAGCTTATAATTATTTTTAATATCTCCTTGTGCTAAATTCATTCTAACACTGTTACAGTTTGCATCAAGAAAACCTCCTCCCCTGTTTTGGTTAGGGTCCTGGCAGGAAGCAGATGGTGCCCTAAAAAGGTTTATCTGGAGAGAGCTTAATGAAGAGACCACCTACAGAGGAAGCAAGCGCTGGAATCATAGAAGAGGGGCTGCCCAACAGGAGCGATGGCTACCCATAGGACAGAGCCACTGCAGAGATTTGACCAAGCAGGGAGAGAGGGAGGAATAAATTCCCGGATCTGGTGCTGGTGTTGCCAGCTGGCAGATCCTAGCCTGAGGCCAAAGGGCATGAAACCCTGGAGAAGCAGCCTACAGAGGTCAATCACCAGAGCATGTAGAGTAGATCTGAGGTTGAAAGGGGGAACAGGTGTGTTGGAATAGCCTGCATACTTGGTCCCCGCCAGGAACTAACTAGCCTCTATGCCAGAGTTACACCAGAGACTCAAAGGCAAATCCGGGACTAGAGAATGAGGAGGAATGCTCTTATTCAGCAGGAGGCAGTTTCCATGGCTACAGGGAGGAGAGAGGTATGGCCTTTTGGCACCATCCTCTTTTTTCTTTCTGTTTGAGTCTCACTCTGTCAGCCAAGCTGGAATGCAGCAATGCAATCTTGGCTCACTGGAACCTCTGCCTCCCAAGTTCAAGTGATTCTCCTGCCTCAGCCTCCCGAGTAGCTGGAATTACAGGTGTGTGCCACCATGCCCAGCTAATTGTTGTATTTTTAGTAGAGACAAGCTTTTGCCATGTTGGTCAGGCTAGTCTCAAACTCCTGACCTCGGGTGATCTGCCTGCCTTGACCTCCCAAAATGCTACGATTACAGGCGTGAGCCACCACACCCAGCCCCATCCTCCTTTACAGTAGTAATAATTATAGCTAGCACTTACCGAGTGTCTGCTGTGTGCCAGCATGTGAGGTCCATGATCTCTGGCTTTTACAGCAGTCCTGCAAGGCAGGTGTCATTCTCCCCATTTCCTAGTTGACACTGAGTCTGAGAAAGGTTAAACAACTTGTTAAGAGAATAGCACTGAGAAATGGATGACCTGAATTTCAATGAAACTTCCAAACCCTTTTCCAGCCACTTCCCAAACCTGGCAATGCCTCAAGTCACCATAGTTATTAATTTGCTGTTACCCCCAGACCTTCCATACAGATATATATAGAGAATGCACACAAGCATATGTACATATATTGTCTTGGGGACTTATTTTTAACATCAATAGGACCACCAAGGGATTTAAAGCAAGATGTGTAGCAGGCAGAGCTTGAGGATAAGTCCATATGTCCTTAACAGATATGAATGCTTACAGATAACTGCTGTGTGCCCACAGTATTTTCTGTAAACAAGTTTCCAGACATTCACCTTTGAAATCTCCCTATTCTTTAGTAATCAAACTAGGATCCAGGTTGGCCGAGGTGCTTGGGAATGCTTCCATCTGCTTATGATGGAAGTCTTCCTTTGCATCTCACCTCCATCTGCCCTTCAGGCATCTCACCTCCGTCTGCCCTTCAGGCCTAGAGGTGACAAGTGGTGTATCTCTGTGAGCCTGGGAAATGAGAGGCAGTGAGGTGAGTCCTCAGAGAGCAGCTCTGCAGGCCATGGAGATAGGGTCTGGATGCATCCTGACTGAGGTTACCCATGAGGCTTTTCCTGACCTGTGCAATCAGGGTGGAGCTCTGGCTTTGAAAAGCCTTTAACTCATCCGGGGTCCCAAAACAGAAGGAGGAGAAGGAAAGACACTGTTTAGGAGAATAAACAAGTATTTTTCAGCCTGTGACATTTATCCATTTACTCCAGTAGCCAGGAATTTTAAAATGCTTTCAGCTGTCCAGGCATGGTGACTTGCGCCTGTAATCCCAGCACTTTGGGAGGCTGAGGTGGGTGGATCACTTGGGGCTACGAGTTTGAGATTAGCCTGGCCAAGATGGTGAAACCCCATCTCTACTAAAAATACAAAAATTAGCTCAGCATGGTGGCATGCCTGTAATCCCAGCTACTGGGGGAGCTGAGGCAGGAGAATCACTTGAACCCAGGAGGCAGAGGCTGCAATGAGCCAAGATTGTGCCACTGCACTCCAGCCTGGGTGACAGAGTGAGACTCGGTCTCAAAAAAAAAAAAAAAAGGAAAATAAATGCTTTCAGTTGAGCTATTGAGAGCTTCAAGGATATTTGTACACACTGGAAAGCCCTCCAGCCAGGTGATGCCCTGTCCTCTGCCTGGCACCAGGCTTGTGGCAATGCCAGCCTTTGTAAGAGTCCTGCTTAAGGCTGGATGGTTTTGGTTGGGTAAATAGTCCCTCTGAGGTTATGGGGCAGATTCCCATCAGTCTCTCCTCCAGATAAGTCATTTCTTCAGAGCTTTACTTTCTTATCTGTAAAATGGAACTCAGCCATCCTGCTCAGTCAGGGTGACAGGGTGTATATGAAGGCGTTTTGTACATTGCAAAGTGCTGTAGGAATTTTTTAAAAAATCCTAATTTAATATCTCTCTGCCTCATTTCCATTTGATATGAGACATAAGGATAATTACTATCCACTCCTCTGTTACCCCAAAGAGGGCTGTTACCCACACTATAGCATGTGGCATGAGATCTGAGAAGGGCTTTGCATTTCTCGGCAGCAAGCGGTAAATACAGAGACGCTGTGGGGAGTTCCCTATGACTGGTTTCTGTGTTTGGGGACCCTTGGGAGGAACTGCCTTGGGGAGACATTTGTCATTGTTCCCCACCCACCCCATTACCCTTTAGCATTGCAGAGGGAGATAGAGGGTGAAGAGCTCCTCAGACTTGCAGCCTCATCTGGAGCCCTAAGAGCACAGTGTGTCAGAGTAACCACTGGGCACCTCGTGCTCTGTGATTTATCTCCTGTTTGGAGAGGGATTATGGTGCTCCGGGCCCAACCTGTTTGCCTTGGCGCCCTTGCTTGGTAGTGGGCTGCAGAGAGCAGAGCTGCACCCTCATCCCTGTCATCTGTGGCAGAGTTCTGCAGGGGTTTGGCAGCCCCACAGGGCAATCCAATTCCCAGCATAATCATAGAGGGAAAGACTCTGTGATCAGCTACACTTTCTTCTCATTTTCTCACCAAGGGGATAATTAGTAGGAAGGCAAACAAATACCCTCACCTTGATCAAATCACAGGGTGTAGGGGCAGAGCTGGAGAGTAGTGTTGATGTGAGTCAGCTCTGAGGTCCATTCTCAAGAGCAAATGGCAGGAGAATTGTTAATAGGCAAAATCCCGAACAGCATTTCACTCCTCTCTTACTCCTCATCTCCACAGGCGTCTCCTTTGTCGAGACAAGGTGGGCA